AAGAACCTCAATTTTATAAAGTTGTGTAAATTCATCTTCTTTGTTTTTTTATTCGTTTTGTTTAGCATATGGTTATGCCGTAACCTCTGATAAACATCTATACTGTATTTCTTTTCAAGACTTGGCTTCAACTCAAGGACATTAAAAATTAACACTATATGCATATATTAGTTTCTCCTTATGACAATTTTTTTTGCGTTGTGATCACTGTTTTAAAAACCGACTCGATAAGAGACCCAGTAAGATGCGGGGTCACGGGTCAACCGGTCCAACTGGTTGGACCAATTGGTTAGATCGATGAAATCAGCATACTAACATCATGCTTAGATCAGAAATAAACGATGAACTGGAAATTTTTTAATATTCAATATAACGTAAGGAAATTAAATTAAATAGAAGAAAAAACAAGAAGAAAGGCACAGATTTACAATCCAAAACAGCCACCTAAACTAACCTCAAAAGAGGTCTATATAAAAAAAATGGCAGCACAAAACCTTTGGAGGACTTCAGAAGAACAAAAAAAACTGCACATGCTGTACACAAACAACACAGAACCCAAAAAAGAGCCCAACACCCGTACCACAAAAGCAAACTCTAGTAAAGGATTGCAACTTCAAACCGAAGGAATCCCAAAGCCACAACTGCAGACTTCCAGTAGCAAAGAGCCGCAACAGAGAAGACTCTAGCAACCCTGAAAAATTCCCAAATCTTGGCACCACAACGGCAAAAATCCACAAAGAATTACAGCCCTCGACAAACACAAAGACCAGCACCACAACTGCATGAATCCAGAGAAGAGAGCTACATAACTGAAGACTCCAGACACGCAAAAGAAGAAGGAGCTGAGGGGAAAAGCCAATACAACCAATAGACCCAAACAGAAAACTCTCAACCAAGAGGGGAACAGACTTGGGCATCAACACAAAGAAGAATCCAAAAAGCTATTGATGTTGAATGGGTGTTCTGGTGTTAGTTTCTTTGCTTGTTACTCTACCAATCTTTGAACTTAAAGAAAAACTAACCTTGATGAATTCGATCTCCTTCCTAGTTTGTTCTCCCCACTCACGTGGTGCTGGTACTACCGATGTAATGATGAAAGTGGATGCTACACTTTGGGGATGAAAATGGAAGCTGCGATTTACAGTTTGGAGAGAGAAGAACAAAATGAAGCAAATTAGTTTTAGGAATTGGTTTTTTAGGGATTAGATTTGCTAGTTAGTGAACCGGTTTAAGCCCCGGGCCAGTCGGACCAGCGGGTTGACACTATTCATCCAGTCTGTTACCGATCTAAAGCGGGTTTTATATTATTTTCGGTTTTTATTTTAACCCAGACCGGAGTTAAAACCGGGTCCGATCGAACCGAACGGTCCGATCTAGCTTTTAAAACAATGGTCTCAAGTTGACCGATTTGACCGACGGGTCAAACTGGTGTCCAAAGGTTTTAAATCTAACAATAATACCCCTAAAAATTACATATAAGTCCTTATATGTTTGAAATCTTACAAAAACACCCCAAACACCACCGTCGGCGTTGACAAATAGGGCCTGTTTTGGATTACTACAACACTTCCCATCACCACGAAAACACTCCTCTCTGTCTCCTGACCAAAACCCATCTCACCCCTCCTTCGTTCACCTCTCCAATCGCCAACAACAATAGGATTTTTCCGGCAACATTGTTTTGTGATTTTCGATCGATTCACTCATTGAAAATTAACGCAGTTGCCACCATTGCACTCATTGACAGTTTCTCTTAAAAAACCCTAACATTCAAGCCTTCAATTGTTCATGGATTGAAGTCCTAATTTCTAGGGTTTTGAATAAATAGGAATATTTACAACCCAACCTGGTGAAGGCGCCGGGTCTCGGTTCAACTGGTTGGGCCAGGACGGGTTTTAAAACAGTGCTTGTGTTAATGCCTTCTTTCAATGAATCAGGCTTGGAAGCATTTCCTCTGGAATACACCACCAATAAAGTATGACACATTTCACATGGTGACGTATGACCTTTGGCTGCTTCGTCATGTTTCTAAGTACCAAATTTTTTGAAACATTTACTTGATGTTTAGAGCTTTGGACATTCCACTTCTCACTCATCTTCTCAACTAACACCTTTTGATCACTCAGTAACATGCTCTATGTTTTCAACATCTATTGCCTTGTTGGCCTCTTTAACAGGATATGAAATTGAGACACACAAATAGAAAAAAAGTTATAGGATTGACAAAACTTCAAATAAGGAATAATAGATCGAGTTGAATGACATAAATCACTCTATATTTTCTGTTAATGCACTTTCGTCAGCACATCCTCATTAGTTTCCATACCCAAATAAGAAACAACACAAACAGATGAGATATAGCTCGCTTAATGACTCCATATAATTGTTTTTTCTAAGGGCAACAGAAGTTTGCTATGTTATAATAAACTATTTAACTTACCAAGTCCATATGGAGAAAGGTGATGAATTCTAGTGCTAGCAAATAATCTGTTAATTAAAAAGGAAGGCAGAAAAATCATAAGAAGGTGATACTATGAAATCATGACGAATGTATAAAAGCAAAAACATAACAGATTAAATTTCTTATCTATGTAAACATACTTCTCATATGCAAATTCAATACGGGTATTCTATAAGATCCACACAAAAATATGTTCTTTTCCAGCATCCTTCTCACCAAATTATGGAACTAAACTCAATAGGAGAAACATAAACTTCAACATTCTTGCGTTAACATATATATAAGCAAATAAAATGAATCAAATATCTCAATTCTCAAAGCTTAAGAACTGTATTGGCATACAGTGATTGCATAAAGAAGAACAAGGTGGTAGAGGACCTGGCTTCATAAATTGAAATGAACTTTCTAGAGATCCATACTTTCTTCATATTATCCAAAGCTGTCAATTCACCTTGCAAATGACCAAAACTCCACAAGTGTTAAAATAAAAAAAAATAAAAAAATAAAAAAAAGGTATTAAAAAGCGTAGAAAATAGATAAATATAAATAAAAAGAGAACACACACCATCTCTAAAATTATCAATGTGCCACTTAAAATGAGAGAGATCCATAGCTTCTAAGACAAAATCAGTCCAATAACTCTACTCGAAAAAAGAAAGTTTAAATGATTTCCAATCAATCCAATAACTCTGCAAATTAATGAACTCATGGGAAAGCAAACTGGAACTGCCACTTAGCAATCAGAAAAATTTGCAGGAGCCTTATTGGTGAAGAGCCTGATTGAAACAACCTTATTCTGCTTATTCATCCCCATAATTATGGCAGCCAAAGAGCAAATAGTAAAGCTAAAAACGTCATAACCAAGTCAAAATTAATCACTCTTCTTTTCTTCCCCATTCCGCCCTTCATCCCATCCATTCAAAAATCCCTAGAAACCATGATTGAGTGAAATTCGGAATACAGAAAGTTGTAGAGACATTATTTTCAGAAAAATGTGTTATGCTTTACACATCTAAAACCCAGGAAGAAAATTCAATCAATGAGGAAATCAAAATACCAGAACAATATGCCTTTCCACCATTTTTGCTCTCAAAATACAATACTAGCTACAATAAATGATGGTTAAAATTGCAACATTTAACTTGTAAAAAATGTTTCTGAACATGGCAAAAATATCCTGAATAGAAAAATCTTCCATAAAAGATACACCGCATAACTCTGCAAAAGAAACAATATTAATCAGTACAGAAACCGTAGAGCTCCCCATCTGTTATGGCAGCACTTTGACATAGCTTCATATGTATTGTTTCATTTTTTAAAATGTGTAGGACGCTGAGTAGTGAATGTACCTTTAGGCCTTTTCCCCAAATTTTTAGGTCCATAGCACGTCCAATTTATATTTATGCTTAAAGCAACAGTTGACTTTGTACAAATAGAAATAGGAAACAAATGAAAAACAATGCCCCATCAAAATTCTGTCTTTTAGAGTAATGACAATGTAATATATCATCCAAAATATACAGTATAATGATGACACTCACTGGTAGGTGAGCAATCAACAAACCAAAGATTCCCTGCACCGTGTAACAAGACTCAAAGCTAGTGCAATATCCACTCCCTCATTGTCTCAGTCAAAAAATTTGGAGTCAACTCAATGCTAGCGCAATATCCACTCCCTTACTGTCTCAATCAACTCAACTCCCACTAGCTCAATCAAAAAATTTGGAGTCAAGAACATTCTTCCAAGTTCTAACTAGCCATGAAAACTTAGTGATATGAATATACCAAGCACACAAGCATACTGACCAAAATATTAAATAAAAACAATATCAGACCTAAAGCAACAGTAAATAATAACAGAGCATGTCTAAAATATGTCAACTAGATCTCACCCTTAGCATAGAAGAAGATCATCTCATCTGCACAAGAACCTTCTATGAATTTATCAATAATTGAAGGCATGTAGATTAGTATAGGACTGGAAGGGGAATGTACAGTTGCTGCAGATCTATTTTATAGTTTATAATAGTCTTGATAAGATCTCTATCTTGTTACCTCACTTGTCCAGGTATCCACAAAAATGATGTAAAGAAAAGCAATATGATTTCCAACAATAAGGAAGAAGATTAACAAGAATTTTATATGACTTCAATAAAGGTTAAAATACAACTAAACCAAATAGTTTGGACATAGCATTATTTTTCATTTGATTGTGGGTAAATGATCGTTTTTTAGAATTACAATCTTTAAACAGATTTCACAGATTGTTTAAAGAAGAGGTATACTCAAAAATATTGAAAATTGAAAAATCATCAGCAAGCAAAGAAGAGATAGTAGAATTAATCAAATAATTGTAGATTTAGGATTTTCATTTTTTAGCAAAAATGAGCACTAGGAGATTATTTTAGTTCATACATGCTAAACTGAAACTAAAAAGTGATAAACAAATTGATAGAATCTCACAAAGAAAAGTGGTAACGATACAGTAGTACCTTTATATATTGTTGTAATGAAAAAATTTGGAGCAGACTCAGCAGAGAATATGCACCAGTCATATGAACTCCAGCAGCAAGGTCAAAGTAAGCACAAGTACTCTGCCATTCTGAAATAGAACATATGGTGAGAAACACAATTATAATTTTTCACCCTCTTCTTAAATGATTTAGAAACTTAGGGACTAGCCAACATTATTTTCAAAAAATTGTCTTCAGCTTTACAAATCTAAAACCCAGAAAGAAAAATATTAAATCTATGAGGAAACCAAAATACAAGGACAAGATGCTTCTCCACCATTTTTGCTCTCAAAATACAATACTAATACATTCAATTTACTTTCGTAGACACTTATATAAAATGTGTCTGAACATGGCAGAAATATCCTGAAATGAAAAATCCTATACGGCATAACTGTGCAAAACAAACAAAATTAATCAGTACGGAAACCATAGAAACATTCTGCCCCTTAAATAATTTAATGCAAATAGAAGAATATTTACCATCAATCGCTGCTGCCTTTGCCTGCAAATACAATGTACCAACATCATTTACCTGAAAAGAAATTTCATTAAATTTAAAACGAATAAACAGGCTGTAAAATAAAAAGAAAAACAAAATATCAAATTAAAACAAAAAACATCAAAGCCCAGAAACAATATGGTTCTTAGTTACAGTAGTTGCCAATAGATCCAACATTGAACTCTTAAAAGATAATAAAAATTCTGCCGTCCTTAATTGATTTACGCTCTGAACAAAATCACTCATTTTAAGTTTTAACAGGGAATATTTACCATCATTCTTGATGCACATCGCTCCACTTTGTAGGTCTTATCTGCTGTTGCTTTCCCTGCAAATAAACACCAATATCAATATTTATTCCAGAAATTGTCCACATTCATCAGAACCTCTCATCTCCTTAAAGTTGGAAAATAATTGACAGGAAAAGAAATTTCAACCAGAAAACAAGCAGTAAATTTAATAACACATCAAATTAGAACAAAGCCCAGAGTTTAAATATCAGGATTCTAACCACTAATGCCAGAAGAATGCAACACCCAGATACCCAAAATCCCTCATACTTTATTTATTGATTTAAAATTCAAACAAATAAAATAATAATTTAAATCCTTCCAACTGGCTGCCCGTCCCTAGTACGTACTATACCCAAAATACCCTCATATTTTTGGTGCTAAATTATAGATTTTAAATTCAAAAATAAATCCGAAAATAAAGAAAATAATATTCCTCCAACGGCTCTTTTAGGAGCCTACTCAAACTAGTATATAACTGCCTCTGCCTCTGTCCCGCCCATTCCCTTATTTCCAGATTCCCTCCAATCTCTTAATTTCTCTCCAAGATTTTCTCTAAGCTTTTTGTTGATTTCACTAACGTTTACCTCCTCTGCAATCATGTCGCTAACTCCTCCTCCTGGCTATAGGTTCGTTCCTTCGGATGCCGAATTGATTGGCTTCTATCTCTACAACAGGGTACATAATTTACCTTTTCCCTGTGATATCGTTCCAGAATGTGACCTCTATGGCACTCTAGAACCCTGGCAAATTTGGGAAATGTATGGAGGACCCAAATTGCGTAATCAAGATCTCTACTTTTTCACCCCATTAAAGAAAAAATCCAAGAAGGGTTCAAATATTTGCAGGAGGGTGGGTTCTGGAACATGGCAAGGGGAAGATGGAGCAACAGAAATAAAAGATGAAGAAACCCACAAGAAAATTGGGTCCAGGAAAAGGTTCCGATATGAGAATAAAGACTCGGAACACCATGCGGGTTGGATAATGCATGAATATAAACTAATTGGGCATGATGAGTTTGTTGTCTGTAGAATTCGGAAGAACGAAAATGATGAAGACGCGGTTGTGAAGAAAAGAAAGAGAATGTGCAACTCCAAAGAAGGAAAGGTTGAGAAGCAGCTCTCCAAACGCTCAAGGGTTGAAGAGAACCCAGTACATTCCCAATTGCAATGTGTTAATGAGAATGAAGGTGAGGCTCAGTCTGAATGTGAAGCACCATCACCACCGCAATTACTTGGAGAAGAAGTTACAGATGACGATTACTCTACCTTTTTTGAAAATCTTATTCTCATTCCACAGTCTGAGCATGAGGCAGAGGAAGAAGCAGAGGCTCATTCTAAATTGCTTGCGGAAGAGGTTAATGCTGATATAACAGATGGTGATTACTTTACCTTTCCTGAAAAGCAAATTCTGATATCACAGTCAGAGAATGAGAATGGGCATGAGCATGAGCCTGAGCCTGAGCCTCTATTGGTTCGAGTTGGAGGAGAGATTATTCCTGAAATCAGAGATTATTACTTTTCCAGTATTCATGAGCAGATTATTCCTGAAATCAGAGATTATTACTTTTCCAGTATTCATGAGCTTTTTCCTGGAGAGAATTTTACAGATTTATTATTGTATTAGAGTGAGAGTACAATATTGGAGAAGAGGGTTTTTCTGATATGACAGACTCCAAAACATTAGATGGAAGAGCTGTTTATTCTTGTGTTAGAATTAGCTAACATTTGCAATGTATACGTATAGTTATATCTGTTTCAGCTTCTTTAGAACTGTTTTTTGTTTGGCAAAATTAATAAAAAAGGATACTGTTGCTACTCAAGTATAAACCCTAAACCAATCAGTAATTTTTATGTTTGAAATAGGTATATTCTTCACAAGAAAGCTTGTACAAAGAAATCCCCCCCAAAAAAAAAAACAGTTACTTTATTCTTTCTAATTCAGTAGTTGCCCCCATTAATATTTGAAATGGGATTGTTTAAATTACTAGATAGTGACTTGTGTTGGGCAATTAAACAAAGCTATGCCGCTTTTAATGGAACCTTTGTGTTTTAGATTCATACCAAATTTTATTGTAATTACCCTAAAGTATTCCCCATTTCTTTGAAAAAGGAAAAAAAAAAAAAAATTGTTTGTTTAAAGAGGTAGACATTTTTACTTGTGTATCATTCTAAAGTAATATGAAATGCTTGCCTTTTCCAAAAGAGGCTTCTCTTTTTCATCTTACAACTTTTCTGGTATAAGTTCTGCCACACTGTGGCCGCAGAAACAAGTTTCCAGTCCTCAACTCAGGCAAATTCAGCTGGCCGAACGACTCCCAGGGAGAAGCAGTAGTCATGTTTGCTACTTCCTCAACCATATCCGGAACTCTTAAGTGTTGTTCTATAATTGTTAATGGAGTATTTCTGTTGCTTGGCACATCTGTTCACGAAGTTATCATTCTTATCAGCATCTTGAATCTGATTAGTCTTTTTCAACTTGTGTTGCACACCACTAGTGAAAGGATCATCCAGCTCTTGAGAAGGCAAATAATACATTCTCCAATCAACTGCTCTCCAACAAAGAGGCGGCGGAACATAAAAGCATCTCTGGAAGAAAGGATGCTGCAAGGCCTCTGCAGCAGTTGGCCTCGTGCAAGGATCCCAGGAACAAAGTGATTCGATAAGGCTAACAGCTTCTTTACTCACCNCCGTACCCGAGACCCAGAGCGATAACGACGCTGCACGAGAACCCGAGAACGATGCAGTAGCAGAAACCCAGAACGATGAAGATACTGCGGAAGAAACTGAGAACGACGACGTTATTGAACCTGAACGTGAAACTCAACCGGACCCAATGGTCTGCGACAATGACAGGGCACAAAAACCTCAAATTGACGCTGAAATTGAACCCGAAAATGAGGCGGCAGGTGAATCGCGAAATGACAGCGTAATTGAAGCTGAACGAGAAACTCAGACCGAGCCGATGGTGTCAGACTCTGTGTCGGAAGATGATCACACTGCCTCTGACGATACGCAGAAGTCGCCGAAACGTAACAATGGGGCTTCTCAAAACGAGGATGAAGAGGAGGAAGAAGACGAGGAGGACCCTCCGCCAAAGAAGCAGAAACAACTGTCATCTTTAACGATGGCGACTGAGACGCAGCTCGAACAAACGCAGGAATTAAAGGAGCTAAAAACTCCAGTTGGGGATAATGGTGTAGCTTCGAAGATAAATGCATGCCTATCCACAGCGGCTACAACGACTACAACGGCAAAGAAATCAAAGAAGAAGAATAACAATGTGTGGGTTTCGAAGACGACGAGAAAAGGTAAAAAGAAAAGCAAAGCGAATACACAGAACCAAGCGTCGAATGAAGATACTGTGTTGATAACGCCGGTTCAAAGATTTCCTGATAAAGGAGATGATAACCCAGAAATGAAGATTTGTTTATCAAAGGTTTGGTGTAAAAGTTATGTGATTGTTTGGTGTGGTTTTGGTTTTCTGTTGGGTTTTATGTTGTTGACGTTTTGTGTTTTGTTGAAGGTTTATAAAGCTGAGAAAGTAGAGTTAAGTGAAGATAGGATGAGTGCAGGGAGCACAAAAGGGTATAGAATGGTGAGAGCTACTCGAGGGGTTGCAGAGGGAGCTTGGTACTATGAAATTAAGGTAATATTTTGAACAGTTTGTTTCTTGATCCACTAACTTTAGAATGGTGATATTTTGAAAAGCTTGTTTTTTGACCCACTAACTTTAGGTGCTCTTTTATGTTATGAGAGGTCTTGTAAAAGTTGCTTAATTGACTTCCTTATGACTGTCTGAGTGTAAATTTTTGCATATTAGATACAACGATGATTAGAAATGGATTATGTTTGAAGTTGGACTCCTTACTTTGAACTGAAATCTTGAAAATTTAATGTTCCAAATTTATCTAAAACTATTTTCAATAAAAGCACACAAGATTAATGAAGAAATCATCATGACTTAAGTGATGATATAAAAAAAATTAATTTTCTTTAATATGATGGAGATGAAGGTTTTCTGCACTCGTGGAGTTGAGTTCAACTTAACCATAGGTGTATTGAATCCCACCTCTATGTTTGAGACGTTTTCTTCTGTTGATTTGTCAAAGTAAATTGTCTTACTTATAAGAAGTTCTTTTGAATGAAGGTGGTGAAATTGGGTGAGACAGGGCACACACGGTTGGGGTGGTCTATGGAGAAGGGTGATTTGCAGGCGCCTGTTGGGTATGATGGAAATAGTTTTGGCTATCGGGATATTGATGGAAGTAAGATTCATAAGGCCTTGCGGGAGAAGTATGGTGAGGAAGGGTATAAAGAGGGTGATGTTATTGGGTTTTATATTAATTTGCCAGAGGGAGGACAATATGCACCAAAACCACCCCATTTTGTTTGGTATAAGGGGCAGAGATATGTTTGTGCACCTGATGCCAAGGAGGATCCACCGAAAGTTGTTCCTGGTGAGTTATTGGATTATGTGATATCAGTTCTGTTATGTCGTTATGTGATGTAGGTTCTGTTGGTGGTGATTGCTTGTGATTTTGTTGTGGATGTAGTCATCAAATTTGTGGAATATAAACTGTATATCAATTCACCGATTATGTTATGCTACCATTATTCATTAATTTGTTGATGCTTTCTATACAGAAAATATGGGTGTCTCTTTATGCATTTAGTTTGTATTAATTCATAATCTATTTTGTCCACAAATGTTGTCTTTGCTATACAGGAAGTGAGATATCTTTCTTCAAAAATGGTGTATGCCAAGGTGTTGCTTTCAAGGATTTATATGGTGGTCGATACTATCCTGCTGCTTCAATGTATACTCTTCCCAATCAACCAAACTGTTTGGTCAAATTCAACTTCGGCCCTGATTTTGAATTCTTTCCTGAGGACTTTGGTGAGTGTCCGATGCCCAGGCCGATGATTGAAGTTCCTTATCATGGGTTTGACAGCCAAGCTGAAAATGGTGTGTCCAATGAGAAGAAAAATTAGTCAACAGCTGTATCTTTCAGCCTTATATGACATTGAGAATCTGAATTGGGAGATTGGTCCGGGTTGGGCATTCTACTGTAATTTGATTACTGTTAAATTAGGACTAACAAATTTATTGATGAGTTCCGCAAACTTGATTTTCTTTGAAAGAAGGGAAAGATGGAGTTGATTTTCTGCTTGGGAGTTGTAAAGTATGAGCCGATTGATATCTTGATATGTTTCTTAGATATAGCAAATGTAATCTCTAGTTTTTATGCTTTTGATAAATAAGAGATACAAGTTCATCATTATGCTTTAAAATTGCTGCACTGATTGTGTAGAGATGGAGTAAAAGCTAAGATTTTCAGAATGCTGGTATATCTTTTGCTTCAAGTTTTTCTTGCCATAATAAGTTCAAATAACTTTCACTTAAATGATTGGTTCAGATTGTCAGTTGTTTTCTTCTTTGGTTAACTGGAGGTGACAATTGTATATGAGTTCTTCTTGCTCTAGTTTTGCAAACCTAAATCTGGAAGGTCAAAAATGCATGTGGAGTTATTCGTTCAATCTGTTTTCTCTCTCTCTCTCTCTCTCTCTCTCTCTCACTCTCAAACACACATATGCACTTGGCAATTACACAAATATACATACATACCAAGACACCAAAGTAGGAACGTAACGAGACGTCAGGTTGATCCACCTACCCCCTTCCCTTTCCATATAATGAACCGACCGAGAATGAGAATAAAGTAAGCGACGTAAAAACCGAGATTTGTTCTATGTAAGAACGTAATACGACTAGTCGTGAACATTGACCACTAAATAAGAGTACAAACTGCTTTTCTTTGCTAGCATTGATCAGAGATCATATCTCAACTGGTAGCCCTTGTTCGTGTACTGGAGTTCCACCAGGCAGCAAGAGAAGCAAGTAAAAACATGGTCCTCTTTGTGATAAACTAACATACCATCCAAGCTCTAACTTGCTGCATCTGGGTCAACTTTGTAGTCCTTTGAGAGGAGATGGATAGCTTTTCAATCTCTTAAAATTTTATCTAGTTGAAACAACACTCTCTATTTTTGTTGGCAGGTAATTTGCAGGTTTCAATATCAGTTTCTACTTTGCTGGAACTAGTAGAAATTAACTGTGTTGCAGTGGCAGTAACGATTTTGGAATTGTATGTTAGTAGCAGAGTTTACCTTCCTAATTGTGTGTCGAGTCCACAAATTGGTATATATTATATTTTGCATTGTGTGCAGAGTTTCAAAATCTTGAAAACAAGCATTTTTAATATTCAGAATCATCATAATTTCTGCATGTATTTGGTTGATTAAGCTTGTGTTTAAAAAAAATTTCCTTTCTTTTTTGCATTTGATTTCAATTTATACTTGATGCTTATTTTCAGTTTCAAGTTTATTATCAAAAGTAAAATAAAACAGTTCTTTGGATCTAGAGTACCCAACCACAGATTAGCTCATTTAAGCTTGCCATGCTGGACTATATACTTCCAATTAGGAATAGGAATGCAACTAACAAGCTTCCTTTGAGAGTCAAATTTATTCAATTTCAGTTCATCTAGCAGCCTAGGATGCGTTTGCAATTTTTATGATTGGTTTTTTTAACAAGCCAGGCTATAAGGGAAATAGGCTATTAAATTACTACCTCTGATCAGTTTGGCTTGTGTTTTATGTCAAATATCGAAATTCATATGCACTACAACATAAGCATATTGATTAACTATGAAAATCTTGCATTTTGTTGCTTTAATCCTTCATTTTTCTGGCTAAATTTGTCATTGGTTGTCAGCAGTCTACAAACAGAATACAGTTCCCATGGAAATATTGGGTCTGATAAACTGGTTTTCTGCAGTCTTATTATGCTTGCTCGGAAGGAAAAAAGCCCAACAAAAGAAAAGGTGAAATGAATACGGACAAGCTGATTGTGAATTGTTTCCATCAGTCCAGGGTACTTTTAAGTTATGTTCTTACTACTTACTAGCACTGCAGTAATATCCTTACGTTACCTCATCGACAACTATAATCCCATGCAGGATGCAAAAACCATTTTACATACCATATGTTTCTTTCACAAAGAACTCCAATAAAACCTTTGTATGGTTCTGAATTGTATCTCTTATGTAAAAAACAATTAATATCTTTTCTCAAACATTTTTCTTTCCTTTCATATATGAGATCCAAACAGATTCTGGTTATTTCAAGGATTAATTTGCTGTTGCCTCTGCTGAATTGGAGAATTCAGACCCTCTTGAGAAGAAAGTGAATGTTGAACATGATGCCTCTTGGAAGGGAAAGGTGGCATTTTTCTGAATGAAGGCCGTTTCTTAAGGTGTTCAAGAGTTCTCTTGGCATAAAGCGTTCGGAAAATAGGTGAAGCTCTTTCTCTGAACTTTAGAATGGCAAAGAATAGAAGTCTGTAAGATAGGAGGATTGCTATAACAGCTACTAAGTCCCACCACTTTGAATGGTCCGGATTAATGCCGAGAATGGTTGTGAGGATCACCTCGCCTTTCAATTTCGGTCCCTCTCGTTCTAAAGAATCAAACTCAAGCCCAATCATGTCGTTCTTGTAAGCTCCCTGCATTCCACATTATAGCAACTGTGACTTCCAGTTTTCTGGTATGCAATAATCACTCCCTATACCTGAATCATGCTGGTATGCTATATATATTCTTTTAGTTGAATCTAGAGTCCAGGATTTATACTTTCTTGCACCATTTTTCTTCTCAAATGAGTCTTAACGTGCATGACTCGTCATTTTATTTTTATAATTTTAAGATGTGTTGGTTTTTTCTGTGGAGGCATTTTGATTAAACATGCTGGGGTAGAAGTATTTTTTCACTAAACCTTACCTGTAATGCCCATGCACCATGATTCACATAAGAAACTGGGTAACGCCAGAAAATCTTCGGTAGTTCAGGGAGCAACCGGAAGAATCCAGCTGTCATCATCATGATTCCCTATTACATGAAGCTAATTGCCATTAGCAGATATTAAAAGGAAAATCTCATATAAGATTGATCAAGTTTTATTCTTACTAGATATCCAGCTCCCACAATGATTCCCATCATGAAGTTGGGAACCACTGAAGCTATCATCATCATGCAGCTCTCTACGACTGCAATGGAGCATATAAGATCAAGGCAGGCATAGATATAATGTGAAATTCCTGAACGAAATTTCACCATGTAATAAGTGATCGATGAAGAAGCCATGGACATCAGAATCAAGAATGGGAATGATGATAGGAAATTAGATAAAGTATAAACTGCAATCCCGTAGTGCCCGTTAAGCCTTTCTCGATAAAAAACCTGTTTTAGAAGAGAGAACCAGTTACTGAATTCGTGGCTAGCACTCTGTGAAGAAAGTTGTCTATAAACTTGAGATTTTTACCTTCATTTCTTCAATAAAGCATGGAAAGCCTCCAATGGACATGAATGTCATAAAACCAGATATAAACCCGCCACAAGAACCTCGTGCCAAGATTGCCGTATAGCTTGTTCCGATATCAAAAAAGACGGTACCAACACAAATAGATAGCACTATGTAGATTGCTATCCTTAACCAGTAATACCCCAAATCTCTAGACATGTTCTTCATAGATCTCTGTGTCAATGTTGAGAGTTGCTTCCACCATTTTGCTTGGCTTCTCCACCTTCTTTCGCATAAAAGCCCTTCCTGCCACAAAATATTACTTGCTCATGAAATGTTCATGGTTCATGGAAAATATTTTCTGTGTTGACATCATACCCTTGTATGTTACTATAAGGAATGGGTTTCTTGAAGGGCATTCACAAGATATACACATTTCCAGTGCAGTTATTATATTATATATACACATAGGTTTGAGCAACAAAAAATTTAACATGAGAACCGAACCAAGTGATTGAAGACAAAAAAAGATTTGAAATTAATAATGAAAACTTTAGATTGAAGCTTACAATAGTTAAAATCCCTTGAATCCTTCCTCTTGCTCTTGCTGCATACTCTGAGCACTTATATTTCCTAATAAGCATACGTCTGATCTCTGCTGTTGATAAGTTTCTCAAAGGATCTAATGGGTTTTGAATATCCTGAAATAAGAAATAGAAAATGTAAATTTCATGAAATGAAAATCGAAATATAAGTCCAAGGATTGAAAGGAAATAATGTAAACTGAAGAAGTGCTTGGTGATTCATTTTATTGCAACACTTCCAAAATGTAATGTGTTTACAAGTGTCTTGTGGTTAAAATTTTGTTTCCTTGGGAGGAAGTTAGCAGCTTGAAGCTTTTTTGGAAGAAGGGATTGGCGTTCATCATGCTATAATAGCATAGAAACCAGCAGTTTTGCTGCTTTCAGATTACATAGGTTATCATTATCAACATTTCATAGAACTGCATTCAGATGAGTTTAGCAAAGCACAAGACTGAGTTTAGCAAAGCACAAGATTGAAGCAAAATGTGATGGGTAATTAAAACAGTAAAAAAGCAACTACACACATACATATATTCTTCGAGATTCCACCAAAACCTCTGTGATAATGTCAAAGTCTGAATTAATACATCGAAGGAAGTGATCAGAAGGATTTCTTCGAGTTGGGCATGGGAATCCTGCTTCGGCGAAGAACTGCAAAATAAGTACCATATTTATAAGACTATGATATGTTTGATTTAGGATTGTACTATTTGCATGCAGGATCTGAATTCCCAATTGCAAAATGATGTTTGCTATCTACAATTTCTGATTTTATTTAATGATAGAGCTGAGTAAAGAATGCAATGCCACTTGTAAAACCATGCTGCAAAAGATATGCATTATTACATACCTTGGAAGCCATTTTTGCTTCTCCAAAATAAATGGTTTCCCCACCAGATAGAAGAAATAGGTCATCAAAGAGTGCAAAGACTTCACTACTTGGTTGATGGATCGCGGAGATAACTGTTCTACCATCATGAGCAAGATTTTTTAGAATTTTAACCACAAAAAAAGCTGAGGCACTGTCCAGGCCGCTGGTGGGTTCGTCAAGAAACAGAAGCTGAGGTCTGGTAAGTATCTCAAGTGCTATGCTTAATCTCTTTTTCTCCCCACCACTGATACCCCTCAAATGCCAGTTTCCGATTACCCGGTCAGCGCAGTCCGGGAGACCCATTTCCATGATTGTACCTTCTACAATGGCAGTTATCTCTTCTTTTGTCAGAGTACTTGGGAGTCTCAAATGAGCTGAGTAAGTTATTGTTTCTCTTACTGTTAGAGTTCCCAATAGTATATTTTCTTGAGTTACATATGCCTGAAATTTCAACAGGGAAAAAATAAACACAGGTCAAAGAAACGGCTTTTCAAAAAGAGATTTCCAACATTTTCACTATGTTATATGGTTTAGGTCAGATTGAATTTTCAATATTCTTTGAAACCATTTTTAAGAATTTAGAAATAGTCACTTACAACACCACCACACTCTAGTTCTCTCTTCTTCCCATTAAGAAGTACATTCCCTGTCATGACAACATTTCCTGAGAGTCTACCTGCAGCAAGTTCAATGAGTTTTTTAACACAATACCGACCACTTTTGAACCAAAAACTAGAAGAGTAAATAAGTAATGCAACAATCACATCACTAGGAAGTAGGAACTAAATAAATTTCTCCAACCCCAAGGGGTAGTCTGGTGGCCAAGAAGGTTTTCCCTTCATTGATTTTCTAGGTTCAAAGTTCAAACTACCTTAGAGCTACCTTCCACACTTGTGGCTTACTTGAAACATTAGGTTTGTAGGGTGTTCAACAGGTTCCGAAGATTAGTTGAGTTACACGCAAACTGGCCCGGACACTACGATTATATATATATTTCTTCTATAACTATTCAACACTGACCCAAATGCTATTCAATTTTTCGTGAAGGCTAGATTGGTTTCTACATTATAAACTTTTTATTTTTAACATTTCTTTATCTGATTCACATATTTAACTAGATCTAGATGAATGTGTGCATGATTTGATAAACTATTATTAGACAAACTATAGCATTGAATGAAGCATTCAATTATTATGGTAAGGCTTGTGACAAGCTTGCATGCAGCTAATTGTTCCTACGAATTCTATAGTGGATATATTAAATTGCATTAATTAATTATCTGCCTCTAGTCCTTGTTTTCTCTGTATTTGGTCGAATCTTCTCTTTCTTATTGTTTTGATGTAGGGCCGCACGGGTTGAATAGTGCTGACGTATCCGAATGCGATGATTTTTGACAGAACATTCTGAAACCGCAAAACAAACAAACTCGTACTGTATTATGAGGGTCATCATTTTTTAGTCTTTTGGAGTCGTTTTGAAGGGTTTTTGGACCCTTTTTTTAATGATTTTTAGGGTTTTTTTTACGAGTTTTTGAATGTTTTGGTACTGCTTTACTAATTGTTTAATTTATTTAAAAACTTGATTTAGATTATAAAATTTGTGAAGCACATACAATCTTTTATTATTTAAAAAACAAACTTCTCAAAGATTGATATTATATAGGTTTCACTGTTTTTATTTCTCAAAAACTCTGTTTCAGAACATGCTCTCTTTATTGTGTGTAATTATTAAAAATATTTCTGTAAAACATTAATAAGCAGCTTTTAAACATAAAAAAAAATATGATCAACCATTATGGGGAAAATAGAAAAGGGAACAGAGCTATTAAATCAATTAGGATTTAGGAATTTCTTATTGGATTTAAGAGATCTAAAAATTATTTATTTAAAACAATTCGAGTTTTGTATTTATTATGATAGTTGTTGAGTTTTCAATGATATATATGTCCTGGGAAGAATTGAATTTTTAGTAATTTACGTAGTATTTGTTTGTTGGGGCAGTTGTTGCTCATCAATAGGGTCATGATATGTTATTGTATGTTCCTCAAAGTTGCAGTCCTATGTTTAATGTGCACAATCAATTGCAAGGCTGTTTCATTTTCTTCAAATATACAACTTTCCTATGAAGGGAAATGTTCTCACCTGAAAGCTGAACATGAATCTGGAAAGTATTATGATATTGGTGAAATAATTCTTTGTAGTAGTTTGTTGAAATAAGTAAAAGGATATACTGTATCAGAAGAAATACTTGAAATGTTTGTTGAAAGAACTCTTGGTGTACAGGAAAAAAAAAATGTTTATTGAAATCCCTTTTAACATATTGTTTAGGCAAAAAGTGCTTATTTCTACAAGGAGAATCACTTTTACTCAAAAGTGTTTTCTATATATAAAACATTATCAGAGCACTTCCATTTGATGGGAGTTGGAAAGTGCTCAGAGCTTTGGGGCTTCTAAAAGAGAAAAAAGCTGAATTCCAAAACATTTAAACCCAGAACTTGCCCTCCTCCGAATGATAATGAAACAAAATTATTTAGTTATGCATTTTCTTTCTATGATTTTATGTCATACCAGGAATGGTAATATGTGAATTAGCCATTAATAGTGATGTAACTATCGTGCATATACGTTCAAGTTTTACCGACAAGCAAAAATTTGATTTTTCTTTGTGCTTACCAAGTCCATTGTTATCTTAAAAGCTAGATTCCAGAGTTCAAGTTTAGAATGTTGTGACCACAAACTTGCCGGTCTCTATTAAGTACAGTTCCCTGCTTTTATTGTGTTTCAGCCTTTCGGGTGCCTGTATAATTAAGGATTATGCAGAAGAAGAAAACATTTGAATGAGTGGCTTTGCAACAATATATACGACAGATTTATGTGTTTAAGTACCCAGTTGATTGAAAAGTTTTAGTTGGTAGGCTAGTCTAACACTAAATTTAGGCTTTAATATATATATGGATCAAACTTAACAGATGTAGATATTTGGCCCTGACGGTTCCTAATATAAGACTTTTGTTAATGATTTGGGTTAAAATGGCTAGTAAGGTCAGAAGCATCAAGAGATCTACATAATCTGAAAGTCCAGATTGTTTCTTAGTAAAATTTCGTGACCGCCTTTTCGGTTTGTGCGTATGCAGGGATAGACAGATTTTTTTTGTTTTTGCCCCAGACTGTTAAATGAATACATTCAAGCATCTCTGAATAATAATAGGGGGATTCAGTGCCCGTTCTGTCTGTGTTCGGGAGAGAGTGATTGAACCGTTTTAAACCAAAGCTAACATATAAAACAGCCGCAGCATGTTTCTGAGTGTATTTAGTGTATGTAGGTTTGAAAGAAAGCGAGAGAAGATTGGAGTAGGAAGACTAACCTGCTAATGCATCAAGCAAGGTGGATTTTCCAGAGCCAGATGGACCCATAATAGCCATGATTCTACCTGGTTCAGCATACCCAGTGAGTTCATTAAGTAATCTTCTAGTAGGTCCATCCCCAAAGTTTGGCAGCACCACAGTCAGATCTTCCCAGACAAGGTACATGGCCCCTTCACACCCAACTCTTGATAAACCCACCTCAGAATCATCTTCACAATCGTCGACATCTCGTCCAGGATTCACCTGTTCTATCTCCATCGTCTTCACAAAGTAAAATATGCTTGTTTTGAAAGCAAAGATGCAACTCTAGCTAGTTATGACAGTAGGTTATAAGTCGCTTTTTGAATAAGTTACTTTCTGAAGCAAAGCAACCAAGTGACCAAAACTAGCATAAGTTTTTAGCAGAAGAGAAGAGAATATATAGAGAAATGGATTATCAATTGTAAGCTGCTAGTTCAGCAATTACCAGCCAGTTCATTAAACTCGGAATCAATGCTTGTATTAATATATTTACAGAGGAAGATGAAAGTGAAAGTGAGAGAAATGACCTGCAATAGGGTTTCTTTGCATGGAATATTTTCTTCTTGTTTGATAATCATGCATAGTTTTTAATAAAAGGCTTTGCAATTATACCAACTCCAACTGCCAACTAAATGTTCGTCAGCTTGAAGTAGTAGAATATTAGAGTAGGAAAATAATATAGTTACCGAAAGGAGCGCACCGAATTCATATACCGAATGATGTGACGCAATCCTAACCGTCGATTAATTATGAGTTAATATTAATCGACGGTCAGGATTGCGTCACGTCATTCAGTACACTTCTTTCAGTAACTGTAATATTACTCATTAGAGTATATAGGAGCTTGTTTGCATAAATTTTACTTTTTTTATTTTTCTTTTTTGTATGCTTGGCAGTCTAAGTAATATATTTCTATGCTGATCATATTTATTATAGCAGAAATCATCATTATATGACACTATAGTTGAGTTACCATAACAGGTACATTTATTAATTCTTCCCTCTCTTCAGAATTTTCAAAGCCATAGCACATGCATGGTGGGGAATAGCTAAGTTTTGGAAGATCAAGATATTTTTATGTGAATATCCACATGATTGATTGATTGCTTTTAATGTGAATTAACTTTTATGTGCTCAAATTTAATTCAATACTGATATATTCATCAACACTCTCCTATTTTTGTGATAGATAGGTAGTCAAATTCATTATAGTTCTGATGACTAGGCCACATGGAAATTTTCCAAGTTCCATCTCCATTAAGACTTTGAATCAAATATTATTTTTGAGTTAATGTTAGCGCCAAACAAGAAAAAAAAAATTGGGAATCCCTTGGTGAAAATAAAGGCAGGGCCATAGTTTGGTCAGTGGTTTCAGCAAGTTTATTCATTATGGTAGAACAGAAACCAAACTAGCTTTCTTCCTCATCGTTCTCATTTGGGAAAGCATTCAGAAGAGAAAGTGAAGATGATAACTAGGTGTTTGGATGGTGATATTTTTCTGTTCATTAATTAAGAGATGCAATTATTTTTAGAAGGAATGACAGTCAAATATATTAATATACAGATTATGTTAATCAATCTCCAATGCCAACATCTTAAAATTTGTAAAGTGTGGACCAAATGTGACAATTTAGTCTCTAACTTTACAATCTTTAAAATCATAAGTCAGCAATCAAGCGTTTTACTTTTAGTTTGGATGCTAAAAATTTCAAGACGTTCACACTTTAGAATTTTCACAGGTTATTTGACGTATGATTCATATATATATGAAATGATTTCACACTATTTGGACTCTGAAACTTAAATTTTATTGTCAAATGAGATATAAATACACATGTACTGGTTCATATATTTGGACCCTGAAACTTAAATTTTCATGGGTGAATGAAGATGAACTCTGGGACTCTTCCAATTTGCCTCCATAACTGAGATCCAAATTGGTAGGTTAAAGAGAGTGACATGTCATAACCACTTCAATTTGGTTCTCTTTTCATGCACATGCATATACCAATTTCCGTCTTCAAGCATCAGACGCCCTTTTGGCACTATTTCGTTAATTAACTTAACATATTTTACATTTAATTCGATAAGTTAAATATAGAAATTTTAACGGAATATTGATGACATAGGGCAAATTGTTATTTGTAATACGTGAGAAGGGAAGCTTTAATTTAGGAAAACTTTAGTGAGAAAATGCATTAAACTCTATACTGTAATTTGCATTAATTTTCTACTCATCACGTCTTAATATAAATTTATCAAATCATGCATAGACACCGTTAGATTTGGGTTGTAAAATATTATTTTAATCTAATGTAATGGAACCATACTATACTTACTCACCATCTTACTAACCATCTTACTATCCTTTGTAAATATAACGCATAGTACTGGTACTATACGCATAGTACGAGTACCATGTAAAATTTTAACAAAGGTTGTATGGCAGTTAGTACAAGTGGTGAGTAAGCATAGTGTTTTTCAATGTAATGAATCAAACCATGAATATATATGGTTCTGACATAATTTATATTAAAGCGTCTTGTCTAGAAAATGATTATATATATATTAAAAAAATTGGTCTTGAAAATATAATTTAATATAAATAGATGGGACATAAAATGAAAAGAATAATGGCATGATAAAGTTATTGATATGATACAAGATATAACGAGAATATAGGCATGTGATGTTTATATTCATTTCTCACTTCGTCACAATTTAGTAGGGTTTAATAGAACCATACTATACTTACTCACCATCTTACTAACCATCTTACTATCCTTTATAAATATAACGCATAGTATTGGTACTATACGCATAGTACGAGTACCATGTAAAATTTTAACAAAGATTGTAAGGCGGTTAGTACAAGTCGTGAGTAAGCATAGTATTTTTCGGTTTAATATTAGTAGTGGTACCAACTCCAACTACCACTTAATAAATATATTCTACTTTATTCCTATTAAATAGGTGGGTAAGAATTACCAATTAATATTTATATTCCCTTTTTTTAGTCAAAATTGTCACCAAAAAAAGAAAAAAAAAAATTAAGTATTAATATTTTTTAAAAATTTGAGGGTGGGCCATGCATACTCTAGTCTTTCTATAGTCATAATGGTATGATTAATTAATTTTATTACTATGAAAAGATTAATAGAGGTGTAGTTATAAAAATTTCTTATTTTATAATTCATATTTTAGTAATACAGTATTATAATTTCAATTCATGTTTTAATAGTATATTAGGATTTCAATTTAGTGCTTCAATTGCTTACTTTTTAAACGAATAGAAGATCGTATCTTGGAACCAACAAAGATAAGTGTCATTGATGAATTGTAAATACAGTTATTGCATGGTTAAATTGATGTGAAACCACAAACAATTGTCAGTTGTTTTAAACATTATAAAATTAGGACCTTTGATATCGATGAATTGCAAGTTATAAATAAAATAGATGAGAAGAATCAAAGAGTCATTATAAAATTGAGTGATCAAATTTGACAACTTCACTACACTAATCAAATAGATATTAATGTTTTTCGCAATCATTCAAATGAGCAACAAGTCATGGATGTTTTAATTAAAGAAAAAATCATAGCTGTAATTACATAAGAAAATAATAAAATAATTATAATAATGATGATATTAAAATATAATAATAAAGTTTTATGCCAAAAAACTTCAAATATGCATGAGAAGCTTAGGCCTCGTTTGGTTGCATTTTGGGAATACTACTTTTAGTATTCCCAAAAAAGTTAAACAGTAAAATACCCAAAAAGTTATATTATTCAACTTTTTTTAAACCCCCTAAATTTGTTAATTTAATTAAATACCCTTAAATATTTTTTAAAAAATTATAAAAACACCCCAACATTCCATATTTACCAGATTCTGGCCACCACTACCGGAAAATGGCCGGAATATGGTAAGATAGCGCACTACTGACTGAATCTGGCCAGTAGTGCTCCGATCTAGCCATTTCCGGAAAGATCCATGGTGGATCTGGCCGGAAAAGGCCATGGATCTGACCGGAAAAGGCCAAATCTAAGGCCAAAGATTTGGCCGTTGACTGCCATATATTTGGCCTTAACCAATCAGTAACGACAGCCAACAAACGGTCGTCGTTGACCATCAACGATGATCGTTTGTTGGCAGTCGTTGATGGCCGTCAATGGCTAGATCTAGCCATAGATCTGGCATTTGCCGGCCAGATCCACCGTAGATCTAGCCGAAAAAGGTCATATCGATGCACGACAGACAAGATCTAGCCGGTCATGTGCTGATACAGCGACTCCGACCACCCTCCGATGGTGGTCCGTATTTGAGAGTGGGTTAGGGGTGTTTTTGTTAACTTTTAATATTTTATTACAGGACGTATTTTGTAAAAAAATAAACATTAGAAATATTTTATTAATTTATAAATCCTACATAGTAATACCTCTTCAATTCAACTTTTTTTCAACCTTTTTCAAAAAAAAATTTCCAAAAACACAAAATTGTGATTTATCAAAATAAAACTTTCATCACGAAGAGATTCTTGCCGGTGAAGATTTAGAAATAGTGGCTTCTGGATGATTATTGCACAAACTTATTATTTAATCTAATCCCTGTACTATGTACTGATTCGAAAGAGACAAGGATTTTCTTCATTTTTAAAATAAATAAAAATAAAAATTGTGAAAAGGATTCGTAAAGCTGGCTCTTCTTTTTATGTTTTGACTTTTGTCTCTTATTGGACATGCTCACATGGATTGCTGGGTAGATGTTTTCTCTAGATTATATTGAATTATTGATTCGTTTGGGTTTAATTATCTTAAATTATGTAATATGACTAATTAATGCGAGAAATTACCGGACTTGAGTCAATCAAGTCTTTGCCTCTTTTGTCAGCTTCCCAATATAAAGATACGAGATTTTGAACCAAGTAATAAATGATAGGCAAAAAGCAAAAGGAAATCACTTTTTTTTTTTTTTCCCTCTTTTTCCAAATATATCGTCCATATATTAAAATCAAACAATAAAGCAAAAATTCGATGGGACTGCCTCAGAAAATCAAGGTTACTTATAAAAAAAAATTAGTAGTAATCCTCAATTATTAGGATTCAAAAAATATAGTACAACCTTTCTATAATTATAATATTAAAATTAAATAAATTTATTATTATAAAGAGGTTATAACTTAATAAAGGTATAGTTACAAAAATTACTATTTTAATCAAGAAGTTATTGTTTTAATTTTTAATTTTATAATTCATGTTTTAGTAGTATAAATAAATTGAATGATTAAATTTGATAACTTTACTACACTAATCAAATAAATATTATGTATTTCTCAATCATCCAAATGAGCAACAAGAAGAGAAAATAGATAATTCTAAGGATGATGCTGTGAAAATAGTAAAAGTTTCGTGTCAATAAACTTTAAACGTGTTTGAGAAGTTAAAAATATTTTTCTTCAACAAGAAGGTAACCATGCTGACGACTTATTATGTACCTACAAGATAAAAGATGTGGAAATAACTCTAAAGTATAAACCATTATCCCAAACAAACTTTAGATAAATATTTTATTTTATCTTAAATCTTTAACGTAACATAATATATAACTTTTGCAATATACATATAATTATTACTATATAGAAACAAGATCCTGAAGACGGGACCTAGAAAAATTAAACTTATTACAATATAAAATTTATTCTTATTTAGTTAAGATTATAATTTTTTATGATTATAATGAGGTTATTCTTATATAGAATATCACTATAAAGAGATTATACTCTAGTTATGAAAATTTGGTAACATTTATCTATGTGTAAAGTATATCATATCATGCATAAACATGAAACGAATGACTTTACATCACATCTATCTAAAAAAAGAGGTGACCCACGAGTCCACCCGTACCTACAAGGGCTGGGTACGGGTTTTAAATTTCATTATCTGTTTAGAACTTTGACTCGTTTTACCTGTATCCATTTTGACTCAGCTCGTACCCGCTCGGTCCGCCCGTTTGTTAAGTCTACTTTTGACAATGAGATAAGTTTAGAATTTTATTGAAATTAAATAAATTATTTTTTATTATTTAAATATTTAGCTTTAGTGAGGAAAAGTCAAATATGCCCTCTTGCCGTTAGTTTTACATTAAGGCCTGTCAGGTTAGAGGACGTTTTTGCTAGTAAAAGCAAATCTGTCCTTGATTTTTACGACCAAAACCCAAAAAGACTAAAATATCATTAGCCCCCTTTTACCCATTTGAGCCAAGTCTCCGGCCTTCCCCGATATGAGTATGACTTAAAGCATCTCTCAAGTCTTATCTTACAAGTGAATTACAAATGAATAGCTGGGAATCAGACGCGTATAAATCCTGGGCCGGGAATCAGACGACACGCATAAATCCTTTCTACTACTGGCTAACATTCATTTAAAAGAAAATGTCATCAAAATAGAAACAGGCCTTTCCTGCCAAATTTGTGGAGGAAATAACAGACTTGATCAGGTCAATAAAGACCTTAATCTAGAGCCAAGTAGCGAAAGAAAGAAAGAAAGAAAAGAGCAGCTTGTGAAGTATGGTTGATGCAGTAGTGTCATTTGTGGTGAAAAGTCTAGGAGACTACATCATCAAAGAAGCAGTCTTCTTACGAGGAGTGAGAGATGAGGTGCAGTTGCTAAAGAATGACCTGGAATGGATGCAGTGTTTCATTAAGGATGCTGAAGCAAAACAAGTTGACAATGTTATAATAGGCAAGTGGATATCTGACATCAGAGACATTGCTTATGATACCGAGGATGTCTTGGATACATTTATGCTCAAAGTCCATGATGGAGAACAAGTGGTTTCGACAACCAATACGCTTCAAGGGGGGACTTCCAAAAAAAGGTCAGATCTCTTTGCTTCCATAAAAAAATGTTCTTGCATATTTAATGAAGATTCGAGTGATCAGGAAGAATATAGCGACGGATTTGAATCCATTCACAAAGAGTCTGTTCAGAAAGAGTCCAGCTGTACAAAGTTCAGTGTTTATAGAAAGGCAAGGAACAGGTCAGTTTGTATAACATAGGGAAGGAGATTAAAGCACTCAGAAAGAGAATCAAAGATCTCTCTTGGAAACGTGAGTTGTACTGTCTTCAGGATATTAGTCAGATGCAGCAAGAAGGAAAGAGCAGTGCTTATGGCAGACTGAAAGAATTAAGAAGAACTCCTTCCTTTGTAGTTGAAGAGAATGTTATTGGCTTTGAGGCAGATGCTAACACTTTGTTGGCTAAACTTCTCGAGAACGAGCCACGACGTTTCGTAATCTCTATCTTTGGAATGGGTGGTTTGGGAAAAACAACTCTTGCTAAAAAGCTTTATCATAGCATTGATGTCAGGAATAAATTTGACCGTTGTGCCTGGGTTTCTGTCTCTCAAGAATATAGGACTCAGGATCTTCTTTTAAGAATTATAGAGTCTTTCAAAGTTGTAAACGGGACAAAGGAGATTGAGAAGTTCAATGAACAAAGCTTAGAGCGATATCTTCATAAATCCCTGGAAGGATATTCTTATCTAGTGGTGATCGATGATGTATGGCATAAAGAAGCTTGGGAGAGTTTGAGGAGAGCATTTCCGGACAACAAAAACGGAAGTCGTGTAATCATCACCACTCGCATTAGAGAAGTTGCTGAGCGTTCGGATGAGAAAATCCATGTCCATGAACTTCGATTTTTAACGCCAGATGAGAGTTGGAAGCTGTTCTGTGATAAAGCTTTTCCAAGCTTAAATTCAGATGAAGGATTGGATAAGTTGGGAAGAGAAATGGTGGGAAAATGTGGTGGCCTACCACTTGCTATAGTAGTATTAGGGGGGCTTTTGTCTGCTAAAAAGCCTCAAGGATGGCATGTGGTGCGTGATCACATTTGGCGACATTTAAGGAATGACTCCATTCACATATCGTATTTGTTAGCTTTAAGCTTTAATGATTTGTCTTATCAATTGAAGCTATGTTTTCTATACTTAGGCCTTCTCCCTGAGGACTTTGAAATTTGCACAGAGAAACTAATTCAGCTGTGGGTGGCGGAGGGTTTCATTGAGGGAACCGAAGATCAATTGATGGAAGAGGTGGCCCAAGATAATTTGAATGAGTTGATCAACAGAAGCTTGATTCAAATAGAAAAAAAATGTTGGGGGAGGGTCATAACATGCCGAGTCCATGATCTATTGAGAGATCTTGCAATTGAAAAGGCAAAACAGCTGAACTTCATTCACATTTGTGATGAAGACAACCATTCAAGTCGTTCTTCAATCACAGTAACATGTCGAAGACAAGCTATATATTCTGGCTCTGGGAGTGAAAGCTGGTTTTGGCTTCAACAGTATAATCCACTCTCACGTTCTCTTTTGTTCTTTCAACAACCGGAGGATAAGTCATTTCGAATAGCACAACATTTAGCTTTCATGTGCTCAAGATTCAGGCTACTCAGAATTCTGGATATTGACGGATCCCAGAGCAACAATACAGTGCCAAAAAGCAGGGACTTTCCAAAAGAAATAGAAGAGTTGATTCAATTGAGATATTTGGGCTTAACCAATGGATATATACATGTGTTCCCACCATCCATTGTCAAGTTGAAGAGGTTACAAACTCTGCGTTTACATGGCTTTGAATGGTTTTTTGATCGCTTACCAACTGAAATTGGTAAGCTGCAAGAGTTGAGGCATTTAATTGGAAACTTCAGAGGGACTTTGCCCGTACATAATTTGACAAACCTTCAAACTCTGAAGAATATAGATTATGGAAGCTGGACTAAGATTAATCCAGTTAAATTGGTTAATCTTCGAGAGCTACGAATTATATCAGGCAGGCCAAATGAGAAGGCAATCACTTTAGACTCTGTCACCACACTTCAAAGCCTGCGGATTTTATCAGTTTGGCTGAGGCCTGGCCAGGCCTTCACTTCATTGAAACCCCTCGGTCATTGTCCATGTCTTGCAGATTTGAGATTAAATGGGAAGCTGGAGAAACTTCCAATTGACATGGATAAACTCTTACCAAATCTTGAATGCCTGAAGTTTTCAGGTTCACTTCTCCAGGATGACCCAATGGCCTCTCTAGAGAAGTTGCCGAATCTCATGATTCTTGTCTTGAGCTTCAATTCCTATAGTGGAAAAAAACTGACCTGCTCCGCGAAGGGTTTTCCTCGGCTTGAAATTCTGCAAATTGATTTAAAGGAATTAGAGGAGTGGCAAGTAGATGAAGATGCTATGCCTATGCTCAGAGGACTGAAGATAGTAGAGAACTCCAAGTTGAGAATTACGGAAAGACTGAGATCAATCCCTCTCCCAGGAGAATGGGAATGTGAAGATGGAAGAATACCTATAAATAACTCAAGCTACATCCAAGTTTGATTTCCTTCATTGCTGTGTGTGCACTTTCTTTTCAATTTCCCTTCAGTTTTGTTGTTTTTTATTGTTGGCAGATGTTAATTTTTTTTAAGCGAATAAACCATTTAGGTGTTAAACCTGATGTTGATTGTAAAAGAATGTGAATGTTGGCATTAAGAAAGAACTCTTTTGGTTTGTATTTTTAACAATTATGCATTTACATTTCAGATGTATGAAGTGATATACCTCTAATATAACTAGCTAGTTTTCTCCCTGTTTGCATCTCCAAAATAAATAGTTTTCTTCTCTGTAATTTGTATCATCAACCATCTCCGACCCAGGTTTATTAACATTCCTAGACCTAATTTGGGTAATAGGCATTGCCATCCTTATATTTAAGCACAGTTTTGAAACTGTTGACACAGTTTAAATTGTTAGAAAGAAAATATGAAAGCATTGACTTGATGACTGGAAACGATATTGCAATTTACTTTTTAACTTCTATCAGCCTAACTTTTAATTAAAACTATATTATATAGCTCAGGATTTATTGAAAGTTTCTTAGTCAATGACGAAATTTGTTGGAAATACAACGGAATTTTCATCGTAATTTAATGAAGTTTTGTTCATTGACTATAAAGTTTTGTTCTTTTGGTCAATATTACATCAGACAATTCACACACAAAAACCGGAGTACCTAGAAACAGTTTATCTCCTTTACAACAAAAAACCTTCTCTCCGAACACCATCTTTCCGGTAATAGAGTTTTTTACCCTGCCCTGAAAGAAGATCTCCATCTCTCATCGGTTGCCGCTGGGATTCTGTCTAGCCTATACCACTCTCAGACCATTTTATTCACTATTCCAGATCTGCTCAAAACTAAAGGGATAATGGAATAAAGTTATATAAGTCCTTTTCAGATGTAAGTGAAGGCAAAGAGGAAATATTTCGTGAGATTCGCTTAATCAAACAGGTAAATTAATATAGCTTTTCGAGATTTCTGCACTTTGTAATTTGTAGTCTAATTTGATTTTACGATAAAAACTTCAGGAAGTTATGCAGGGACATCGCTGAATTGAGCGCCTACTTTGCATGGATTAAGCTTACAGCAATTCTAGCCAATCTTAGTGAAGTCAAACTTAACCAAAATCAAGTCAGTCTGCGCCACAAGAGCTACAAGATAGCCAAAGAAAGCAATCTATCCTCTCCTAGGACGCAAGGCCGCTTCTATGATGTTGTGAAGCATGGTGGATGCAGTAATCTCATATGTTTTGAATAAGGTCGGAGACTATCTCATCCAAGAAGTAGTCTCCTTCCAAGGAGTGAAAAGGGAAGTGGAGTCGCTGAAGAATGATTTGATATTAATGCAATGTTTCATAAAGGATGCAATGGAAAAACAAGTTGAGGATGATCTGTTATGCAACTGGGTATCCATCATCACTGACATTGCCTACGATGCAGAGGATGTTTTTGATACATTCATGCTCAAAGTCCGTGGTGGAAGGACTTTGAATTTGGATAGAAGGCGGGGAGCCTTTACTTCCTTCATGAAGTGTTCTTCTTGCATCAATGATCACCAGGAGTCCAGTGTCTACAGAAAATGCAGAGAAAAGGGAGATGTCTATGGCATAGGCAAAGGGATTGAAGCAATCAGGAAGAGGATCAAGGATCTTGTTGATAAGCGAGGATTGTATGGCATCCAAGAAATTGATAAAAAGCAGGAAGGGAAGAGCAAAATTGCTCTTGACAAATTGAAAGAGCTGAGAAGAGTTCCCTCCTTTGTGGTTGAAGAAAATGTTGTTGGGTTTGAGGATGATGCTGACAAACTGCTTGCAAAAGTTCTTGAGAAAGAGCCAAGACGTTTGGTGATTTCTATTTGTGGTATGGGTGGTTTGGGCAAGACAACTCTTGCGAAAAAAATGTATCACAACATTGATGTCAGAAGTAAATTTGATTGTTATGGTTGGGTTGTGGCATCTCAAGATTGCAGAACGCGAGATCTTGTTTTGGGAATCATTGAATCTTTCAAGATCAAAAACAAAAAGGAGATGGAGAAGATTGTGAAGATGAGTAAAGAAAACTTGGAGCGAGAGTTCTATAGTTCGTTGCAAGGACGCTCATACTTAGTGGTGATTGATGATGTGTGGAAGAAGGAAGCATGGGAGAGCTTGAAAAGAGCCTTTCCGGACAACAAAAACGGTAGCAGAGTAATTATCACTACCCGCAATAAAGAAGTTGCTGAGCGTATAGATGATGTAACTCATGTCCATGAACTCAGGTTTCTGAGGCCAAATGAGAGTTGGAAACTGTTCTGTGACAAAGCCTTTCGAAACTCGAAGGTAGATAAAGGACTGGAAAAACTGGGAAGAGAAATGGTGGGAAAATGTGGTGGCTTGCCACTAGCAATTGTTGTATTGGGTGGGCTCTTGTCTACCAAGAAGCCACATGAATGGGGTGCTGTCCGCGATCAAATTTGGCGGCATTTGCAAGATGATTCAATTGACATCTCTAATTTATTAGCTTTAAGCTACAATGATCTGCCTTACCCATTGAAGTTATGTTTTCTTTATATAGGTCTATTTCCGGAGGATTTTCTGATCAACTTTGAGAAATTAGTTCGATTGCTTGTGGCTGAAGGTTTCACATGGGAAGCTAAAGGTCAGATAATGGAAGATGTAGCTGAGAATTATGTGAATAAGTTGATCAACAGAAGTTTGGTTCAAGTAGATGAAAGATGTTGGGGAAGGATTACAACATGTCGAGTCCATGATCTTTTACGGGATCTCGCAGTTAAAAAGGCAGAAGAACTAAACTTTGTTCATATTTGTGATGAACTCAAGCATTCCAGTACTGTCTTTTCTGTTGCATCATCATGTCGACGACATGCTATTTATTCTGAGAGTGAAAAGTTTTTATGGCTTCAACACTGCAATCCATCCTCACGTTCCCTTCTGTTCTTCAATCAACGAAGTGACCTCTTGACACCATTGTACAGCAAATTCAGTTATCTAAGAATCCTGGAAGTTGAGGTTTTTGCGAATAGTTTGCCCAAAGAGATAGGGAAGTTGATTCACTTTACATATTTAGGGTTAAGGGGTGCAAATCTATATAATTTGCCACCATCCATTGTCAACTTGCAGAGGCTACAAACTTTGGAGTTAAACAGTTTTGATCGATATGTTGCTCTCCCAACTGAAATCTCGAAATTGCAAGAGTTGAGACATCTAACTGGATTCTTTACAGGGTCTTTGCCGATAGCCAGCTTGAAAAACCTTTTGACTCTGAAGTATGTTTGTTTTGTAAGCTGGGCTAGAATTAATCCTAAAAAGTTGGTTAATCTTCGAGAGCTACAAATTGAATTGGGTGGTGGAAAAGAGAAAGATTTCAGTTTAGATTCTATCGCCACACTGCGAAGCCTGCGAATTTTATCAGTTTGGTTGGGGCCTGATCAATCTTTCAATTCACTGCAGCCACTCGGTCATTGTCCATGTCTTGTAGATTTGAGATTAAATGGAAAATTACAGAAATTACCAACTAACATGGATCAACTCTTGCCAAACCTGCAAGTCCTAAAGCTATCGGATTCACTTCTCGATGATGATCCAATGCCCACATTAGAGAAGTTGCCAAGCCTCATGTTTCTTGTCTTAATCTTCGGTTCTTATGAAGGAAAGAAAATGATGTGCAGGGCAAATGGGTTCCCTCGGCTTGAAATTCTACAGCTTGAATTATTCCACTTGGAGGAGTGGCAAGTAGATGAGGCTGCTATGCCAATGCTTAGAGGCTTGAGTATCAAAGATTGCTTCAGCTTGAAAATTCCTGAAAGACTCGAATCAATTCCTCTCCCAGGCGAATTTGAATGCATAGATAGACTAAGTCTGAATAACTCAAAATACTTTGAACTCTGAAGACTGATTTGTTTTTTTGTGGATGTATTGCCTTTCAATGTCTCTTTTCAATTTTGCTTTTTGTTTTTGCTTTTGTGCTTTTTGCTGAACTTTGAGTTTTCAGTATGAGTTGTGTAATTTCATTTCCACTAGGAAAAGAAAAAGAAAAATAAAACGTTTCCCTGTGTATAAAACTTAATCAGAAATTCAGTATTGTGTTCTATACTGTATAAGCAAGAACTTCAAGCTACATAAACAACACGAAACTACAACGACAATCACAGCACGATTAACTCCTAGTTGAGTGGAGAGTTCAGACCCTCTTGAGAGGAGAGTGGATGGAGGGGTTGGTGCCTCTTTGAAGAGAAAGATGGCGAACTGAAGGAAGGTCTTTTATGGAGGTGCTGAATAGTTTTCTTGGCATAAAGATTCTGAAACAATGGCGAGGCTTTTTCCTTGAACTTGAGAATGATGAAGAAGAGAACTCGATAGCATACGAGAATAAGCACAATGGCTGATAGATCCCACCACTTGGAACGATCAACTGATACACCAAAAATCGTTCTGATGATCTCTTCTCCCTTCAGTCTTGGGCTACCAGGGAACATTGGATCAAACTCGAGGCCAATGAAATCATTCTTGTATGCACCCTGCATTTCAAAAAATAAAGGGACTAATGATTTTCTTTCCTGAAGAAGATTTTGATTTCGGAAAACGTTTTCGGGTGCAATGACATTCCAGGTATTTAAAGATGAAAGAAGCTTCACAGAAGTACCTGAATTGCCCAGGCGCCATAGCTGAGATAAGAAATGGGGTAGCGCCAAAATGGCTTGGGGATATCGGGCAAAAGCCGGAAGAAACCAGAGGTCATCATTATGATTCCCTGCAGAAAGAACTCCAAATTTTAACTATAATGTGTTGCTAAAAACTGCTGATGAAAACTGAAAAGATAGGTAAAAGATCAAGCAAGGTGAAAAAAGAAGTTTCTTACGAGGATTCCGGCGCCAACAACAACTCCCATCAAGAAATTAGGGACCAATGAAGCCACTACCATCATCAGACTCTCTATAACAGTGATGCAGAAGAAAATATTGAGAACGAAGAACACGAAATGAGAAAATCCGGACCGAAATTTCACCATGAAGAAAGTTATTGTCCCACTCATTAGTGCAATTGATATCAAAAAGGGGAAAGAAGAGAGGAAGTTTGATAGGATAAAAACTGCCACCCCATAATACCCATTAAGTCTTTCTTTATAGAAAACCTGTTTCAGAGCAGAAAACAAAGGAATCAGAAGCCTGAAATTCAGTAGCAGCATGCTAGTTCATAATTTCAATGTCAAAATACTATCAAATTATTTTATTTATCAAAGAAAATTCTCAGGTATGGATCTAAAAGACAAAAATCTAAAACATAAAAACCTTGTATGTGTGAATTAACTCACTAGCAAGAGTTAAGATCCGGATTTTAAATAATTCAGGACGTCTACAAGAGAGACTATATATATATCACTTACCTTCATTTCCTCTATGAAGGATGGGAAGCCACCAATAGACATAAATGTCATAAATCCTGTGATAAATGCTCCACAAGATACCCTGGCCAAGATTGCTGTGTAGCTATAGCCAACATCGAAAAATATAGTGCCAACACAAATGGATACAACTAAATAGATTGCTATTCGTGCCCAGTAATATCCCACATCTCTAGACATGTTCACCAATGATCTTCTAGTCAATGTTGTAAGTTGCTTCCACCAGCTTGCTTCACTTGTTGTTTTTGCTTCCATATCAAGCCCTTTCTGCAATTAATGCATTGATAAATATTAAACTGCTTTCATGTTTTGTTCATACTGTCAGTTTGGAAGTACTTACAGTTGCTGATATTTCTTGAATCCTAGCTCTTGCTCTTTTGACATAGTTCGAGCGCCTGTATTTTTCGACAAGCCTTGCTCTGATCTCTGCTGTTGCCATATTCATGAAAGGGTCTGCAGAAGTTGGGACATCCTGGAATTACATTGACAAGAAAATGTGAATTAACTCATGGTTTGATAATTTCTGGAATTTAGTAGTCGAAATGCGCAATTACTCGAATTCTTTGAGATCCTTTCAATGTTGCTGTTACAGCATCGAAATCGGAATTTATGCAGCGCAGGAAGTGATCCGAAGGATTCCTGCGACTCGGGCATGGAAATCCAGCTTCAGCAAAGAACTGCAGAAATCAATAACAAAATTAGATTGCAAAAAAACTAAATAGCATGAAGCATAATAATTCCTATGGCATTTACCTCAACAGCTGACTTAGCTTCTCCAAAGTAGACGGTTTCGCCGCTAGACAGTAAGAAAAGGTCATCAAAGAGAGCAAAAACTTCACTACTCGGCTGGTGAATCGAAGAGATAACAGTTCTTCCATCGCGCGCGATGTTTCGGAGAGTTTGAATCACAAAGAAAGCTGAGGCACTGTCAAGGCCACTAGTAGGTTCATCAAGGAACAATAAGACAGGCCTAGTCAGGATCTCAAGAGCAATGCTTAGTCTCTTTTTCTCGCCGCCACTTATGCCTCTCAAGTGCCAGTTTCCGATCGCCCTATCAGCGCAATCCTGGAGACCAAGCTCCATAATTGTGCCATCTACATAGTTACTGATCTCTTCTTTGCTCATGTTACTTGGAAGCCTCAAATAGGCTGAGTATGTTAACGTTTCTTTGACTGTCAGAGTCCCTAGCAACACATCCTCTTGGGTCACATAAGCCTGAAATTTGCACACACCCATTTTATATAGTTACAAGCTACAGGAATAATATATTATATACAGTCGAGGGGGTTAATGTACAGTATCGGGGTGACTTTACCCTTCACTTAGTTCATTGGATTATGGTACAGTCAACCATTGGACTACAATCTGAAGATCCAGAAGATCCAGATAAGAATAACGTTATCTTCCACTATTCAACAATAATTTATGGGCATTTAGATAAACATTATTTCAAACTTACACAATCACCGCTCTCCAATCTTCTTTTCTTCCCGTTGAAAAGAACATTTCCAGTCATGATCACATTTCTAGCGAGTCTACCTGTGGCAAGATATAAACAAATGTTATTAGAGATTAAATTCATAAAAAATAAATTCTGGTGTGAATTTTGGACTAAAGCAGCTAGCCCACATGCAAATTAATGATCGTATTCATCTGTCTGTGTCAACTCAGAGATATCATAAATTTGTTAGACCATCTTCAGACTTCAATGTACAGATTCCGGTTAGCTATCAAAATCAAATATAAATATAACGTTACAGATAATTAATCCTTTGTCAAGTACGTGCCTTCTGAAAGAAGAAATTTTAATTTTTATGTTCATAAATTAAATAACGGTGCAACAATTTTTGCAGTCACTGAAAGTTTTGTCGATTATACAGAAAAATTGAGACTAAAGCTAAGCCAGAAATTCAAGATTTGATCCTCTGTCTTAAAGACTTGAACGCGGACCTCAATATCAAAAAGAAAATTATAAGACTGTAAAGGGATCTTTTCGTTTCTTATTTATTTGCCGTCACTTTTCTCATCAGTAATACATATCTTGTTGATATATTCTTTAGAAAAGCTTAGATTCTTAAACATATAAAAGTTGTTTCAGTTCCAAAATCAGTACAATCAGAGTTTAAATCAGAAAGGAAAAAGAAGAGATTTGCTAACGGACTTAGTTTTATCTAAAGTTGAAGTTTCTTTAAATAAAAAAGAAAAGCTGACAAAACCCAAAAGAGGAAACTCTAATATTTGTTTCTTTACTACACAAACAACACTAATCCAAAATATCAATCTGATAACATTAACGAGACAATATATTATAAACTAGAACAAATAAAATTGTAAATATCAATCTGGTAATATTATCAAGTCGAGTGAGAGATGAAACCTGCAAGTGAATCAAGAAGTGTGGATTTTCCAGAGCCAGAAGGACCCATGATTGCCATGATTCTTCCAGGCTCAGCATAGCCATAGAGTCCTTGAAGCAAACTTTTGGTTGGTTTGTTTCCGAAATTCGGAAGCATAACGTTTAGATCTTCCCAAACCAAATACGTCCCTCTTTGAACTCTCTCAAAAGACACAGACTTCTCCCTATGCAAACTGCCATCGTTTCCAGCGCCATTTCTCTGCTTGTTAAGATTATTATTGCCACTGCTACTGGCCACTTCTATCTCCATTTTCGCAAGCTTGATAAGCAGCTGCTCAAAGTGAAAGATATTAAAGGTGAAGATTAGGGTTTTGCTTTGTGTGGAGTGGATGATGATGACCAACAATTAACAAACAACAAACAACTAACCATCAATGCGGGAGGGTCATATTACAGGCATGTAGAGAGTGAAAGGGAGAGAGAAAGAGAGAAAACTGTAACACAAATCAGAGTGATAAGGGTGGCAAGTGAAGGAAATAAATGTAATATGAATGAGATGGTGGTACCAACAACACATTCATGGCGCTGTCATGAAGGACCCTGTCAGTTATATATATATATCTTTTCCTTGATGATGTAATTAGGAGAGTAAACGACTTTTTCCCACCCAAGGTTTGCCTTAATGCCTTTTCCACCAAAAAGTTTCAAAATATCACTTTTCCACCCAAGTTTATATTTTGTTACATAATAGCCAAAATATATTTCACTTTCTCAGCCAGCGTTCAGCAAGTTAGTAAGAGTTAGGATAAGAGGGGTTTGTAGAGTGGACTGGTGGATCGAATGATGGTGATCGATTGAATATTCATCGCCAAAATCAGGTAAGAACATAAAACTTTAACTTTACGGTGGCCTGCAATCGGCGAAAATAATTTGTCAAAGTGAAAATGGTTTTATAGAGAGAATAGCGGAGGTTCAAATGGTGTTGACACATAGAATTTTTGTTGTTGGAATCGATTTTGAGTAGTAACAGAATATTAAATTTGGGTAGAAAATTAGTATTTTAAAACCTTTTGGGTGGAAAGGTATTAAGGCAAACCTTGGGTTGGAAAAGTGTTTAATTAGGATGGCAGCAGGTTTCTGATAGGGGTTATTGGGTCGTTATCAACCGTTAGATTAATTTTCGATGTAATACAGCGGCGGAGTCAGGATTTTGAGGTAGAGTAGAGTAGTTGAATGTTTTAAATAATATATTTAAAAGAAAATGAAAAATCCAAAGTGAAATTTTTGTTCAATGCAATCAATTAATTAAAAGAATTTTTGAATGAGATATAAGTTTTGCATATTGAAGAGAAAATTATAGTAATATGTAGTCTAAAAATAGAGTAATAACAATTAAAAAAAAATTATTTTAATAATTTGTTAGTAAACAAAGAGGACTATTCCCCAACGCAAATCCAGTGTCGAGAAATATATATATATATATATATATATATATATATCTATATATAATATAAATATTAATATTATATATATATTTTGCACAAGGTACCCTTTCCCATGCAAAAACTTGACCAGTCAGTGAACCATCATCGGGGCCAAAGCAGTAACGGATCCAAAAATTTCTGTTAGGGTAGACCAAAATAAAAACTAATTGCACATTAATATTTTTATTAAGATGGGCTAGAATTCAAAAATTATACATATTAGTATTTTAAAAGGAAAAAAAATTGAGGATGGGCCAAACTAGGCTGGATCCGCCCCTGGGCCAAAGTAAGTTACAATATTTATATAAATTAAGAGTAAAATTTTAGAGAGGGAAAAAAAAAATAAGAGTGATAAGGAAATGTAAGAGTAAATATAACAAATATATACTTAGACTAGATTAGAATATTAGATCCTTAATACAGAGTACAAATACTCTTTCTTACATTTAATTAGAGTCCTCGGAGGAAGGGCGCCTAAAAGTGTTAAGTTATCAGTTATCACCCAACTTAAATAAGGGTCCCATATTAATATTAGGTTTAATTGATTTTTTTTTTTTTTTTTTAATAATTAGGGTGTTCGGGTGTACATATTTTAACTAATCCCCTAAAATTATCGGACACCATATAAGTTAAATAGACCAAGTAAGACACAAATGTGATAGATAATTACTTTGTAGGACTTGAACACAAGACTTCTGGATAACGCAGCCAAATGGCTAAAGTCTTGCCATCTAACTATAAGGTTAGTGATTTTAATTAATTTTTTACACGATGAAAATAGAACTTTTTATTGGATATTATACTCAATAGATCACTCAAAATATAAAGTTAATAAATAAAGTTCAACATTAATATTTAAATTTAGAGAAGAGTCTATGATATTATGATTGCATTAATTATATTATAAGCCAATACATACATCAAAATATGATTTATTACTATTTTTATAATTTTGTAGATAATACTTTAAAAAGCAAACATAAAGCACTTAAATTCTTGGGGTCGCCATGGCCCCAGGGCATGGTATTGTGGTTGATTCTAATGGTACGTATAATTTATCGGTCAAAATTATTGCATATAATAAATATACACCAATAAAATTAAATTTTGTTTCCTTCATTGATTGAAGCTTATAACGACTTTCTATTGTTGTGATAAGCTTGTTATCATGTGATAAAACATGGATTAAGATTAGAGTATATACATGGCCTTTTTGGTTGCTTGAAGATTTTGAACCACGTGTTAGAGCTTTCATTTATTTCTTAATCTCCTTACTGGCTAGCTTCTTACCTAAGTTCCAAAATATCTGTCATTATTAAAGTCTTGTCTGTATTTTGTCGTAATATAAATATATAATTAATAAATACAAATGTGTTGGATTGACAGAGTGGAACACACTTATTGTAGTCAGCCGCTTGCATCGTAACATGATGTAAAATTTTCTCTGATAATGGGTTTTTATATTGGATAAACGATTTTTTCTCATTCAAATAGTGGCTTAATAACATTTTTTCATCTAAAAAGTTTCAAATTATAATTTTATTACCTAAAACACAATTCCGTTAGTAAGTTTCAATGTAAAGAAGGATAAAATGATCAAAAGTTAGTTATAAATAAGGATATGATGATCAATTAATATTATGCGCCTACCATACGGCATTTTCAGGTCACTTCAACTTGAATTCGACGTTGTTAAGCCCTCCCACCACCACCAAAATATTCCCCATCACTCTTTCACCAAAATCCCTGCCACTCCTCTCTGTCTAACCCCTCCATTCATTGGCCATTGCACATGGCTAATTCACGCGATTCTTTCCCTTTTTTGGTCGCTTTCGATGGGGAAAAACTAGGAAAAACACCCAAAATCAAGCCAACAAACGCAACTCAACACACCAACAACACCAAAACAACCAGAACAACAATCAAAATGCTTCAAAAAAGTCCAAAACAATTAAATAACAAAACCTAGCCATGGTGGAAGGTGGCAGTTCATGGCGAGTAACCAAGTGTCGGGGTTTGAGGGGTTTTGTAGAGTGGAGGTCGGAGGTTGTAGTGGTGGTGGTGGTGGAAGATACAATTTTGTCCATTAGGCAAAAATTAGCTTAGAACCAACGAAACCCTAACTTGCGGCGATCGGCAAATGGTGAGTTGAAAGATATGGGGATCAAGGGGGTTTTGGCCAAAGAAGGTCAGGGAAGCTTGTGGTGGTGATAACGAAGGCCAACGACATTGAATTCTAGCCAAATCTGGCAGAGACGCTGACATGAGCGGTTGGCCGATTGGTGGGCGTGGAGGATTTTGGGGTAGTGGGGTGGGGAAGAGAGAAGAGAAGAAGAATAAGAGATAAGAGATAAGGATATTTTGTTATTCACAATGAATATCACTGTATTTAACGGAAATTATTAACATAATATAATATTTGGACAGTAAAATTGTATTTTGAAACTTTTTAAGTGAGAAATGTAATTAAACTATTATTTGGGTGGGAAAAAGTTGTTCACTCAACTTATATTTTATAAAGAGTTAAATTATATCAACTTAACCTTGACTTAAATTCTTAGCATTAATTTTCAGCCATCGATTTATCACAATGCTAGGGCTTAAAAGTATGAAAATGAGATCAAAGCGGTCCAATCAGGAGAGGATTTTATTTTATGTTTTCCTTTTCATGTATGCATTTAATTTCGTGTCTCCAAAAATGAAAACAAAAATTTACTGCAAGAGGGAGATTTAAAACGATAGAGACACAGCAGTACATTTAATTTAAGTTGAAGATAAGCTTCGACTTTTTATGGTGCTAAGCTCTACGTGGCAAAAGAATGGCACTTTTGTATTATTCTGCATGCCCCATATAGCTTTGTTCTTAAAATTCTCATCTTTTAACTAGTTAATTGATTAATCTCAAAAGTGAATACAAATTCTGAGTTTGGTTTATTATTTGGATTAGTATTTTTGAAAAAGTTAATTTCTGGTTTTATTACGGTAGAATTTAAAAATTAATAAAAATATCCTCTTAAGTTTGTTAATTTAATTAAACACTCTCTATAATAAAATATTAAAAATTAACAAAAACACCCCCACACACTCATTAAGTGATGGCAGCCTGCCATAACCGCTGGAGGGTGTCTAGAAGTCGCTGTAATGGCGTATGACAGGCTAGATCTGGCCAATTGGGCGTTGATATGAATTTTTCAGCTAAATCCACCATGGATCTAGCCACATCTAGTTGTCAATGACGACCAAAGATATGACTGTTGTTGATGACAAGATGTGGCCATAGATTTGACCTTTTTCGAAAAGATCCACAATAGATTTGCTTAGAAAAGGCTAGATTGACGCACTACCGGCCAAATCCAGCCAGTAGTGTGCCATTACACAAGATTTCGGCCACTTTTCGACAGTGATGGCCAGAATCTGACAAGTGTGGATGGGTAGGGGTGTTTTTGTTAATTTATAAACTTTTTTGGTTGGGGATGTTTAGTTAAATTAACAAACCTAAGAGGTTTAAAAATAGTTGAAATGAATTGAATTGAATTTTGAGAATAGGAAAACAAATATGTATTTTGGGTATGATAAGAATAAGATAGGGCAAAAATAATAAAATAAATTGGCCCTATCAGAGATTAATTAGTATAATCTTACTTTTTAATTAGTATATTGAAATTCTCATCTTTGATCTGCACGTTAAAAATATCAAGAACTATGTAGTAATATAAAATATCAAGAACTATGTAGTAATATGCGTAGTATCGTGAGATATAATCCAGTAGGGATTATTAATTAACATGGAATGTCCTCGTATTACCCATGAAGAAGAAGGGTCAAATAGACATTGATCATTAAAGATCAAAATTATAAGTATAAATGTAGCTGTAATCCATTGATGAATAAAGTACTTATTAAAGAGACCACTTATTAAGATTGAAATTCTT